GCCCGCCTCCCCAACTTTCACACACACACACACCCCTGGAGTAAAAACTAGTGACTGAGTTGTGTTAATATTACCTTCTTCTGAGCTAGAGCTGGCAGCGCCTTCATTGCTCCCGTTAGTCTTGTATTTGAATTGACTGAAGTCAGTGTACGCGTGCAATTCTAGACATCCTGTTTTGTATAGCTGAAAATGACATGAATTCACAACATAAGACACTTAATTTCAAAACAGCAGACATATGCATGACCATATATGCTACCAATACTGCAGTCCGGACCCACATTTTAAAATTGGATTTTATTTTAACACAAGTCTACATTTTTCACAAAAAAGTCACTGCAATATTGTTTAAAGTAAAGACCCGAAAATAAAACACCTTTAAGCATTTATACCTTTGATTGATGACAAACTTCAACCTGTTCCAGTTAGTTCACAAGTTAAATACAAGAAGCAAGTTCTAGGTTTCTGCCTGTTGTGCCAATCACCCTCAAACCAAAACACCCAGTAGCACAAAATCTGTATTTCTATTATCTTTCTTCTTATATTACATTCTGAGTCCAGAAATCATTTACTCATGATACAGTATTTGCTAGCCAATTTTCTCCGTCTTTGTTATCATTCTTTTAAAATTATGGACTTGCAAAAGAAATAAGAAGAAAAAAAAATCTCTGGATTTAAAACAGAAAAAGGGAATTATAACACAAGACACAAGGGAAGAAATCAGAACTTGGCAACACCAACACAACACAACAAGTACATAACATTTGACAAAAGGTGAGTCAAATAACAACTTATCATGCTACACAGAGTTTGCTAGCTATTCCAAATTCTGAACATTCAAATAAATAGTGGCCTGTAACGACCATGCGGAAGACACACACAGCCTTTTTATCAGACTTCCATCCTTTATACTTCATAAAATACACACATATCAATTTTTAAAATCAAAATTGAATCTGGATCATTTTCATTTCCAGTATCTCTTTTTCAGTCTGAAAACATGTTAACACATGAATTAACAAAACATGCTTTTCAAAAAACTATTTTTTCCCGTACTTTTTTTTTTATCGTGTCACAGCAATGAAACGAGAACAAATAAGTCTTCTTATCAGACACAAACACAAGTTTTAGCAATTAAAACTCAATACACCACCAAATTTCTGTTTTTCTGATATCACGTAACAAGAAACACAGGAATGCAAAAATAGAAGAACTTTTGACCAATCATCACAAAATCAAAATCATTTGACACTCAACATATTTTTTTAGAAGCTCAATATGGCTCTCACAGAAAGGTGTCCTTACACACTGCAATAAGAGAAGAAAAATATGATCAAAGATCTGTTACCAAACAACAATTCCTGTAATTATAAGTTATAATATTTATATATTTTTATACTCGAGGCACACAGGATGAAGATTACAATATATATACATATATCAGAAGCCAAAAAAATGTTTTGTAAATTGAGCCAACATTTCTAGAGCATAGAAAGTATAACAAGTCAAGAAGACTTTGTATTCAGTGTAAACATTTCTGTAGCATAGAAAGTATAACAAGTCAAGAAGACTTTGTATTCAGTGTAAACATTTCTGTAGCATAGAAAGCATAACAAGTCAAACAGACTTTGTTACTGTATGCAATCAAACCATCAGACAAGGGCAATGAACTTGCACATTATCACTGATAATCATCCTGATAATTCTTAGCCACTATCCAAACTAAACTGGGGAAAAGGCAAAGGTCAAGTACCTGTAAATATGTTAAAAAAAGAACCTGTTTTATCTCTAGCAAACAACTAGCCACTAAGCGCACCCACTATTTAACTATGAAAGGAGGGGGGAGTGTGTGTGTGTGTGTGTGTGTGTGTGTGTGTGCAAGCTATTGTTAGGAATATTTTCATTATAATGAGCAGAAAGTCTGAAAAGTGGAGCTGGGTGATGATTTATAAGTTTTGAAAAATCAACACTGCACGAATTGCCAACAAAAACTTTCATAAAAATTTTGAAAAGCTCCCCTAACTTTTTATCTCACTACACCTATTCTATGGCCAAAGGTCTACAGGACAATTCAAACACATGACGAAACGACATATATTTGCATATTTTCACAACAGACAAAAACAAACAAAGGAAGACCACAAAATAAACCGAACAATTACTACGATACTTACAATAGTATATGTGATTCCAAAACACAGTGCTCCTGCTGCCAGCATCAAATTTCTCTTCTGCTGCGTCTTGTTGAAACTCTCCTGCCAGCTGCCCTCGGGAACCGGCATAAAGTCCATGTGGTTCTTCTGTTCTTTCACGACCTGCTTGATGGGTTTCCAGTGGTCCGGGGTGTGATGTCCACCCATACATCTTGCCTGAACTACGACAGGTGTTCTGCTGACTTCTGTCTCAGAGAAAATACATATATTACAGTAATTTCTTATTATGCCCACACAAATATACACAAAATTTATGACTTGTTTCAATGGGTACTTGTCAATTAACTCCCCCCCCCCACCCCTCCAAGAAACTGGTCTTTGCAAGAGTAAACTGATCAGCTTTGCACAACTGTGGCACGCAACTGTACTTGGTGCTGATCTAGGTGTTCATACCACGCGAGACCAGCGCATGCCTCTATCCCTTCTGTGTCATCTTTACTTTTACTTTTAGAATTTTTTTAAACAGCATTGTTACTACCAATGACAAAATATGTGAGTGCTTCACGCACTTGCAGCTTTTGTTTTTCTCTCCGTCTCTTACTGCTGTTTCTGGACTAAAAATAACACACATCAACTGTTGTCAAGGTCATTATGGCATAGGAACCCGGTAGGCCCTTTTCATCAAACCAGAACCAGAGAAACTTTTTTTCCAGGTGGTGAGTGAAGCCTACACTTATTGAGTTTAGGACCATCAAGGAAACCTAAACGGGCACAACTTGCACTCGAGACCTCCGAGATTTTTCGCTCTTATAATCCGAGAAGGCTAGGTGTTAGTTCTTACTTACTTACCCTAAGATCAGGGATGTGGCTGAAAGACAGTAGTAGTAAGAAGGAGCCAAGGAATAGAGGCAGTGAAAGGCTGTAGAAAGAGTCAAGAGCCCTGAGGAGGGGGCAGAAAGTGGAGACGAAAGCAGATGACAGAATGTGGTTGGTTTAGAGAGCACGGAAGAAGGTGAAAGGAGAAAATTATCCTTCACTGTCAGGTTTCGAACCCGTGACTTATTGAATGAGAGGTGAACATCGTACCTCTAATTTAGACCACGAGAGTCCCCTTCTACTAAATTAACTTGAACTAATGCTATAGGCCTATAATAGACCAAATAGGTTATATTTTATAAACAAAAGACCATCTACAGTATTTGTCTAGTCTAGGTTCATATTACACATGAAGCTGCAGCGAGCACCTGTGATTGATCCAAATAGAGATGACGTATTTCAGAGTTCTATTTTTGCCGTCTTCCGGGCCTCCCCTAGACTCACAGTCTAGCCGTACTTATTCTTAATATGATGGCTAGACTGACCATTTACAAAAAACAGGCCTACTGAATTGTAAATATACATTTTTAGTGAGCAGTACCTAAAGTATTTGTATTTGAGACGAAACCAGGTGCCTTAATGACAGTGCATGTATTTTAAACCTCCTGTTTTCTAATCTTAATAGGGCCTAAGATAAGTACGGCTAGACTGGCAGTCTAGCTGTACTTAACTTGACTTAAGTGCGGGTAGACAGCCAGTCTAGCCGTACTAAGGACGGCTAGACTGTCAGGCTAGCTGTACTTAATACTGATGGCTGAATTGTAAATGAAATTTTTAGTGTGCAGTACCTAAAGTATTTGTATTTCAGACAAAACCAAAAGGTGCCTTACTGACTTGCATGTATTTGAACCTGAATAATTACTAGATCTAGATCTAAATGAGACCTGAGTACTTAACAGGCTTGAGTCGATTGGGCCAAACCTAGATCTAAGTACGGCTAGACTGGCAGTCTAGCCGTACTTAAGTACGGCTAGCCATTTCGTTTTTTATTCGCCCCCTCCTGCCTACCCACCTGTAATCGGTACCTGACTTCAAGTTGGGGAAGTAAAGGACTAATTTTTTTTTTTTTCCTAAAAAAATAGGCCTATAAGATAACTCAAAAAGCATATGTGTGATGTCGCGACTTAAGAAAAAAAATTAGTCTGGTCAACAGTTCTAGGCAAGGCCTACTCGAGAGGGAAACCCAAGAGTCTTGGGGGAAACCCTGGAAGACGACAAAAATAGACGGCAGAAATACATCATCTATATTTGGGCCAATCACAGAGATGTGCTAGATCTAGGTGCTCGCTGCAGCGTCATGTGTTCATATTAGTCATATAGTCATTTTAATATAGAGATAGGATCTCTAATTTAGTCTAATTCTATGCTACACACGTCATCAGGTTCTTGTAACTATACTAATAATTCATGACGATTTATGTCCTGCTATTGACTCATTCAATCATTGGTTGGGCCAAAGCAAGAGAAAAGACTTGAGGCAGAACAAAAATTAGGCCTAAAATTAAAATTAAAAATCCAACAATAACAAGTCCAAGGTCCAAAGCCAAAGGCAAGCCCAAGGCATCCTACAATGAGGTGCCTCGCCTCCTAAGTCCTAGAATCTAAGTCTTAGGCTTCTCTACATCAGAGATTCCTCTTCTAATAAAGCTTGTTCAACGGAATGTTGTGTATTATGGTGAGTGTAGAATGGGATTCAAGTTCACTGAACTGAATCAAAACTTCTTTTGACATTCATTGTCATTGTTGTTGCATTTTGTAGTGACCGTGTAATTTCGATTTTTACTTTCTCTTTCAACTTTCATGACTCGACAGCGACCGCTGGTGCAGAGGTTGTTTCGTCAGAACCAAGTTCATAAATCATAGCGACACGACAGACTGAATGGACATATACGCCTTGGAATCATGGAGAAAAGCTGCAACGATACACTTACGCGTCTGAGCAACTATTCTCTTCAAGTTCTGAAGGGCAAAGGTTCGCCGGCAAAGAGTGTGCACTCTGTCCATTTTGTGCGCTGTTGTGGAGTGAGACAGTAAAGCAAAAGAAGACACCGGAACAGGAAAGAAGCGAAGGGTGGTCACAAAACCGGTGTAATATTTTAAAGAACTCCAGAATAAATTTCATAGGCTACAAGCAAGGAGTTTAGAACTTACTTTTAATCTCCTTGGCTACAAGTAAAAGTTAATGCCTCTCGCTTCAGTAAAAGTATTGTCGAAGTTTATTAATACGTGGCTATGAAATATTCCTGCTAAGCTCTAATAACATTAGATCTAAAGCCTGAATACTGTAATATCAAGTTCTACATATCTGAATTTTGCAAAGTCTCATCATATTTTGTTCACCCATGCCTTATTGGTGGCATCTTTTGGCAAGCAGGGGTGCGGTAGCTTGAAATGATCGGTGAATAGTTCTGTTTAAATAAATGTATAAGTATAATAATATTGAACTGCACTAGACAACAAAAAAAAGGAAAATTCTAAGTGAAAACACGGTGTTCTTTAGCCAAGAAATGTTACATCTTTCAGATTGGAAAAAAGTTGAAAAGTCGGGAACGAAGCGGGAAAAACAACAACAGTGTGCACAATATAAGGAGCCTGCAAACGCTTAATTACAGACTAATTCTAGTTTGCTTTTTTTTCAAGACACATTATAATCGACTAGCCATGGATAACACAGGCAATGTGTGTGTATGGGTTTGTGTGTGTGTGTGTGTGTGTGTGTGTGTGTGTGTGTGTGTGTGTGTGTGTGATATCATTATCATGTTTAAATCTGCATTAGTTTTGTCATCACTGTCAAAGAAAGCGAAAGTGTGAGCGCCCGAAAGTACTACAAAATGTAATACCAATTATTTTGATACTGCTAGCCTGCCATGCATGTGTCCACGGTACAACAAGAAACGGGAACTTCTCATCTCTCTATTCTTCTTCTCAATCTCACGACTCGATTCACGTCAAAGAATAATGTGATGTGTCGAAGCAAGACGTGAATTTGAACGTGAAGTCTTATTATTCAGCTGGCGAAAATCTTTTTTAATGGTGTTGGAACCCACTTTCATGTATGAGTCCCTGTAAAGAACCAAGGTAATTATTTTTGAGATACTTCAGTCTCATACACGTAACAGTAACACTCTTCTCTATGATATTGTTGATTCAAACTTAGTTTACATACATAGGCCTACATTGCATTGTCATTTGTGTCACCACAGTCGCAGTCACTTGAGTCACTGTGTTGTCAACTCGTTACTGTGTTATCAGATATTGAGAAACATCTTGACCCTTCTTTGTCTTTTGCATAGAAACTTGGGACTTGAGGCTAGCAGTAGCAGCACTGTGGCCAGTATTTTTAGTATGAAAGTGGCTCTTCTCACCCGCCCGGAAGTTCTCGCAAAATCAACTCCTCCCCTCTTCTCTCTCTCTCTGTCTCTTTCTGAATACTGTCTATCGGTGTGGACGATCAAATTGCCCAAAACAAAGTTAAAAAATGATGTTAAAACACAAAAGTAAATTAATTTGGTTGTCTACAAAGATGCTACGGCTATATAACTTTTCGAATCGAGCCGAACTACGCGGGTCGCCTTTTTGTTTTGCCCGGAAATTCTCGCGCTACTCCTCTCTCTCTTTCTCTCTCTCTCTCTCCATTGCCCACAGACAAAATTGTACGCTTTTAGTAGGCTACAGTTGTAATGGAACGTTTGTTCACGGCACAGAATTCTACAATTTTTCTGTTATCACAGTGTAGAATTCTGTGGTTTAGGGTGAACGCAAAATTTGGTGAACGCGCACCGGGTGAGAATAGCCACAAGACTCGCCTGCACTATTCTCACTCCGGGTGAGAATAGAGGTGGCCTTTTAGTATAAAAATTTGGCACAAAAACAAATTTATTCACACAAGAAGAAGCTTTTGAATAAATAAACTAAAATATAACAAATGTGCGCTGTTACTGTGACCAATTCAATTTATTTAAATTCATTTTTGAAGCTTGTGCTGGCTTGCTGTAAAGGTTTTAGGAAATGAAAGTGAGAGATTGGTATTCTTCCTTACATGTCCATGATTTTCCCGATATAACGGCAGATTGCTGACTGAATTGACATGTATAATATATATGACAATTATTTTAATTATTCTTGAGGGGAAGAATATCTAGGGGTTTACAGGGGCATGATCCTCTGCTACCCCCCCCCCCCCCCCCCCCCCCCGCCCCATAATTTGATGTTTTGCAATCACATATGTAGGAAATTTTCATAAAAATGATTGATTTGCGACAGTTTTAGTGGCCATATTCTATATATATTGTGATCTGCCGTAAAAACTATGGCTGTTTGACTCCCAAAAGCAGTGCATCTGTTTGCGTCAGTGAAAGTAAAAATTTACCTCCTATATACCATATATAGATATAGTATGATGAGATACACCTACCTGCCAGCTCACCGGTGGCCTGTTGTCTCTCTCTCTCTCTCTCTCTCTTTCTCTCTCTCTCTCTTTCTCTCTCTCTCTCTCTCTCTCTCTCTCTCTCTCTCTCTCTCTCTCTCTCTCTCTCTCTCTCTCTCTCTCTCTCTCTCTCTCTCTCTCTCTGCCTTGCGAATTTCCATGTTGTGCCCTGCTAGTTGTGTTACTTCGTGTTTCCTGAGGGCACAGTCATTAAGAGATGGGTCAAATTTGCAAGTTCCTCACGATGAATTTTGCAAACTTTTTGAAATAGCACTTACCACACAAAAAAACTCTCTGAAAACTGAGTAAATTCTCTTTCCTTGCACACTATTTTTTTACAACTGTTCTCTTTTTATCTCTCAGTTGAGCACTTTTTTAAAATGACCTTTTGTTTCCAAGGCGATGAACTCAAACAAATTCCTCCCAAAACCCAAACAATTGTCTGCTTTCTTATATGTAATATATATAGACAAGCTGTTAAAATCATGTCAAATGTATTTGCCCAGAGAGCAAAATTTTCAAGTAGAGAGAAAAAAACTGTTTCGTTCTTTAAATAACAATGGCACCTCACACTATGTATTTTTTCTTGGGTTTTTTTTTTACGTTTAAAATTTGAATTTCAGCAAAATATTTACTGAGCTCGTACAACTGATACCATAAATTTAGAAACTGCAATGAAAAAATATGTTTTAGATTAAGACTTAGTATATATTTGATGAACAGTGAATCGATGATATGATTATCTTCCACATCCTTTTGTATGGTGTTGAAGAGCAACGAACTTAACTATTTTTTCCCCTTCTTTTGTTTTCTTCATCAGATGACCAGTTTTGGAGTGAAGTGGAAAGTCCATATGGCCGTAAGCAGCAATGAAGTGCGCAGTCTTAACGCTCCCTTAGTGGCCATGTCCCTGACAACTACTAACGAGAAGGGGCAAAAAGAAACCAAAGTTGTGGAAATGAAACTGGAACAGTTTAGGGTACGGTAATGCTTTCTTTCCTAAGTTTTGTCAGTACTTTTTTCTTTTAGTGCTGGTTACGTACTACTATATCTCACATATGGTATGTATATATATATTTTGGGAAAATATTTAATCTTTTCCAAAGCCTCTCCCCCTCCTTCCCTACCTCTTTTTCTCCCTGTCTCCCTCCCTCTGCTGAAAGCCTGGAAGAGATCGTCTTGATGTATCATACTGCAAAGCTAGAATTCATCTCGATGTTCATAGAACAAACAGCTAATAAATGTCCTTTTTGTGACAGGACACCATTCTGTTGGTCCATCCTGTCGGTGAGTAGATATCATAAAGTCTGATGTACTTTTTGTCTTTGGGACGTGGAAAAGCTCGGGCTTTGTGAGTTTTTACAGGCCTTGAAGATTCAGTCCTAATAAAGCACTCCTTTTGTTTGTTTTTTTCGTTCCATTTTTGTGCTCTGCTGTCTCCAAATGTGTAGCTGCATGTCAAAATAAGTTGCTTGTCACACTCAGCTGTTTTGACATATTGGGTAAGACTTTATTATTCTCTCAACTTTGTGTTTGTTGATTCCCCAGCTTCAAGTGACTATGACTTTAGAGATTCTAAAACAGCTAGACTAAAATTGTTTTCTTCCACAATAGGGCTATCTTTACTTTGCCATTGGTAGTGTAATTGTAATGTTGTCAAAATGTGACTTGTGACTCATTTCATTATGTTGCTCCATTAATATAGAATTTGGGTATATGTGTTTTGAGGCTGCCAGTATGCTATTAACCCTTTGAGCCTTGAAATCTTGAGGCTACCATGCCCCTCTGCCTAAGCTCCTCTGAACGATTCACACCTTCATTTGTTTCATTGTCAGAATTATATTCCATATCTCCACTCAGGGTAGTCCTTATCATCACCAACATTTTCCTTGAAAAGATCTTCAAAATAATCAGTAATGCCTGTGTGGTAAACACTGTTTCCGTGCATGTTTTGTCCAAGGCGTGCTGGTTTGGGGGTCAGATAAGGTCTCCCTCATCTGTGTACTGATGGCTAGGCATACGGGCAGTTTTATGCACAACCAATGTACGGGTGCCAAGGGCTCTAAGGGATAAGGTTTATAATTGTAAATTCACTCCAGCTACATTTATGTTGCAGCTTACAAATAACATGTGTTGAGACTTTTAAAAAGACTTAAATTACATTTCATCTGAATTTTATTTGGTTATTTTTTTCTTCTCTTTTTTTCAGAGCATGCTGAGCTCTCTTGAAGAAATTCAAACTGAGATGGAGAATGCAAAGCTGGTTCATTGACAGTCACTTTCAAGAAACATGTTGCCCCCGGTCGTTATTTTAACTCCTATTTTACTCAAGTTTTTTTTACTATCCCAGCCATTTTAATGCCATATTCTAAAATATGATGTCTTGTGTGCAAAAGGCTTTGCATTGATGTTGAGTAAATGTAGTAGCTGCATTTTATGTTTGTGAGTGTGTGTGTGTGTGTGTGTGTGTGTGTGTGTGTGTGCGTGTGTTTGAGAGAGGCTGCACGTTTATTCATCTTGTGGCATTTATTGTCAATGAATGTGAAAGTTTTTGTAAAAAAAAAAAAAGTACTATTAAGCTGTCGTAAAGTTTTTATACCAAAGTACCAAAATGAGTGGAATGCACGGTATATGATGTGACAGTACGTTATTTTTGGTCTTTTTGTTTTTGCCTAATAGTTTTTGCTGTAGTTGACCCAGTTTCTGTTCTCCTGTCGTAGCGGAATGTAAAGGAAAAGTACCGGTGATGATAACAGTCTTTAGTAGACATTCGGGTTTGATTTGCTCCTTCTTTCTTACCAGACTTCTATTAGCCTTACCCCTTTTCTTTCTTTCTTTCTTTCTTTCTTTCTTTCTTCGTAGGCTATTCTCTAGTACAGCATCTCTAATCTTCAGTACTTGTAAAAACCTGTTTGTGTTGCAAGTGAGGTAGAAGCTAATACTAAAACCTGAAGAATGAAAACATTTAATTGTAGTACAATGCGTGTGAAGCACTCAAAAGGAAGTTCTCACCTAAACTTCTGTTTTGAGTGCTTAACATACTATTTGTTTAGTATTCATTTATTTATTTATTTATTCTTCTAATTTTTTTCTTCCGTGGAAGATATTATCCTGATTTCAACCAGCTGTCAATCAATACTCAGCAGTTCCAGCTGCCATTTCATTTTCATAAATCTAAAATATGACATATAATATTCATAGAGTTCTGGGATGCTGATCAATAGCAATTTACTTTTTATGTGTGTGCGTTTGCACTAATGATGACTGCAAGATTATTAGTAATATTAGTTTTCTTGAACAATTTTTGTCTTGAATATTATGTTGTGTATCAAGTAGTGGGTTAAGTTGATTCTGTCCAGCAGTAGGACTTTCCAAACTATTGTAAAGAATGCAGTTTTTTCACAGATAGGAATGTTGTTGTCAATGAAATTGAGATTTATAAGGGACTAGGACAAAATGAGTCTGTTGTCACATTTTCATTTATGATTTTATGTGAAGAATCTTTTCAATCCTGACAAATTCGTGTAAAAGTAGATTGATTAGTTTGACCTCTTTGGTTCCACACCTCGGGTGACTGACGTTAATAAAGAGTCCCTAAAGGACTGCTTAGGGAAAAGCAAGGCAGACAAAGAAAAACCAGTCCACGGAGTTCATGTTTTGAATTTTTAAAAAACTGTTTAGTGATTAGAATAGAGAAAAGAAATGGAAGAGTTTACGTATTTTGTCAAAAAGGGGCACCGATAAATTTTACTTCAGCTTCAAATTTTAGCCAGTATATCTACAACTGAATGTGACAAATTACTCTTTTTATCATCCGGTCTCAGATGTTTTTGGAGAAATATTACTCACGAGAATATGAAAAGAATTGCCTATTTAATTTATTTCAGAAATGTTTATTATTTGGAACTCAGACATATATATGGTAAGTTTGATTTGGGTCCATTATTAGCTTCATTGGTATCATGCTAGACTGTGAAGAGGATGGCACTGGTTTGAATCCCCAGTTGGGCATTTTGAACTTGATTTTTTTGGGGAGAGCTTTTTAACACTTTGCATCACATCTCGCCTCCGATCAGCGGTATTACCCGCCCCTTAAATAACCTATTAGTGTTGATAGGGATGTTAAGCCTATACCATTTTTTTCAGCGATATTTACCACTCAGTTTCTTTCGATTTCCCCCCAAATGCCTTTTGCCTTTGATGGCAAGGGTTTTTACTATAATATATGAGCCTTGTGATGGAAAAGTGTGAAGGCTCTGTGCCCATTTTGTTTGATCCTATCGGAGATGGATGTAAAGTTCACAGGTCACGGCTCTTAAATGATCTTACAGTGTGGTAAGAGGCTTTAAACCTATAGTACAATGTCCAATGCATTTTGATAGGGTTGAGGTACACACCCACTGTTCATGTAAAGATCTGACTTTATGATGTGTAGGCAAATTTCCAGCTGTACCGGTATCTTATAATATTGTCATTCATTTTTCTCTCGATTTCACATTCAAGACAAGGCTGCATGTAGTCAGGATACGTGGACCAGAAAGCTTTACAATGGAGTCAGCTTAAACTGAAATCTAAGGGTCTTCCTGATTTTCTTTTGTTTAGCTGGGTATTCGTTTTGAGAGGCTGCTCAAATAGAAAAAAGAATCTCTGTTAGTTTCTTTTCTTTCAGTTTACAGCTGTTTTTTGGATTAATCGTGTTTAGTTTAAGAGGACTCTACCATACAAAGGGCCAGTACTTTCAGTATTTGCAAATGTCGGTTGAATGTTTTTCCTGTTGTATCCATACTGGATATTATGTGAAGGCTGGCAGTACGCTACTGCAAAAGTAGATACATACTATAATATGATATAAGCAATCGGGATTGAGGAGGTAATATAAAGGCTATCTGTATGCTACTGCTAAGGTAGATATAAGCCTTGGGGATTGAGGAGGTGAAGTATCTTATTTAAGCCGTTCGTGTGAGTCATTGTGAAGTTATGTGGGCCTTTTTTTTTTCTTTTTTTTTTTTTTGAAGGATGGCTTTCAATGTTCATTTTAACTTTTCAAGTCATATGGATCTCATCTTTTTTTTATTTGTTGTATTCAAGATCTGGTAATTATCAACTAACCTTTGAGTGATTTAAAAAAAACAGTCAGTGTGGATAGAAATGATTAGGAAGAAGTGATCTGATTGTCCATGATCTATTGTCCACGTGGCTATTTTTTATTCCTATCACTAAGTGATAGACTTTTCCACTCCAGTTGTACCGACCTTTTTCTTTTTCCCTTCAGTAACAAATATGATTAGGAAAAGGGAACTTTATATTGTAGCTTGCTTACAATAAAATTTGAAAAAAAAGAGTTCTTAATTTGTGTTTCTTTCCCTTCTGCCCCCC